GGATTAGAAGGGACTGATATAGGTCAAGAAGCTTCTAATTTCTTAATTCCAACTTCTAGAAGACTTGATACACAAGCTGATGACATAAGTAGAGAAGCCAGAAAAAATAGGAGATTAATTGAGAAACTCCTCAACATAGTGTAAGTCTCTCTCTCACTCACTCTTCGCGCTTCAACTGATGTAGATATGTGATTTTTGACTTTCTTTGATTTTTTTCATAATTCGAAAGTCAAACATCCTTTTAGACTTGTGAAAATTGAAAAGTACAAAAATAGAATCACATTTTACGACAAAAGTTCTGGTTTATTTTTAAAAAAAATAAAAAAAACTACAAAAAATATGTTTTTATTACATTGGGCATAGTGTTATACCTCTCACTATTTCACCTCTTTTTTTCCCCTACTAATGTTTTTTTACACTATAGGTAATGTGGCTAAAAAGTTTTTAGTTTTGTGCATTAATAATAATACATGTGCTTTTAAAATTATTAATTAAATTGAGTTGGTCAACAACATGTAACTCTTCCTAACAACTCTAAGATATTCCTTTGTTGAGTTTACGTTGACACACTTATTTTTTTTAGTTCGTTTTAAAAAAAGAAGCAATACACTTCTAAATTTAAAAATAATTGACTTTATACTTCTCATTTTATCTGCATGCTTATGATCACAATATGTTTTAAACGTTGTATAGCTATATAAATACTATGACATATGTATATCATAAGTTTTAAAAAAACAAAAGTTAATTTTTAAATTTCAAGTCAAATCAAATTATGTTACGTTAAATTAAAAATATGTGTTTCTATTTACAGGTACATAGTGACTGTAGTGGTTATTTCTCTTAACTTGGTTGCTGTAATTGCTCTATCAGGTAAAACACTATCTATTTTTTCATTTATGTTTTTGCTTAGACCAAATCCATATTAATTTACTATAAAGTTTAGTTAGAATTAATCTTGTCTAACTATAGATGTCCAATAAAATTACAAATTTAGATGTAATACATTGTCTAACATTGTAATCTTTTTAATTGCAGTATTTGGGATACTCAAATTTAGAAGAACCCTGAAATTGTAAGTATATATTTATTATATATGTCACAATTAATCTGAGAATAACTAAACACTTTATATTAATTTATGAGGAACTTTCACATATAACCACTCAAAAATAGCCTAATTACTCTCCATAGCTATAGTTTGATAATTACAATTCGTAGCTACATGTTATAGGGAGGAGAGAGGAGAGCAAGACTGGGAGAGAGAGGGAAAAGAGTGGGACAAAGGTGAATTGTATATGTATATCGGTTAGATAATTGTATATTATACATATGTAATTGTATATATGGCAAGCGAGATTGGGAGAGGGAGGAGAGAGGCGAGCGAGAGAGGGCAGAGAGTGGGAGAGTGGTGAATTGTATATGTATATCGGTTAGATAATTGTATATTATACATATGTATTTGAATATATGGCAAGCGAGATTGGGAGAGGGAGGAGAAAGGCGAGCAATATTGGGAGAGAGGTGAGCGAGAGAGGGCAAAGAGTGGGAGAGAGGTGAATTGTATATGCATATCAGTTAGATAATTGTATATTATACATATGCATTTGTATATATGGCAAACGAGATTGGGAGAGGGAGGAGAAAGGAGAGCGAGATTGGGAGAGGGGGGAGAGAGGTGAATTGTATATGTATATCGGTTAGATAATTGTATATTATACATATGTATTTGTATATTCTGGCGAATTATACATATACAAATGTGGCTAATTATATAAAATCGAAGTCAGCCCACGTAATTAATGTATAATGTTAGTCGCGAGTGGTAATTATATCAAACTATAGCTATGATGAGTAATTAAGTAGTATAAATTTGTTTAACCGCGTAATTTTCCCTATTTAATATGGCCATATATAGTCCATTAAAATTACAATTAATAAATGGGTCATTTGCACTTGTGTCTTTATTTTGTGTTTTTCTTTAATTTTCTGTTACCCCAATAAATAACTTTTTCACATGGCGTAAATCGCATCATAATATTTCACAAGTTATGTTTCGTGCCCTTAAAGAATGTATGTCCCATTAGGCATTAATTTGATTTCTAGGCGCAAAAACTAATTAAAGACTGGTCTATTTGAAGAACAAAACGTACGATTAATTAAATTACATTGATCAAGCTTCTAACACATTCACTTTTTTTTTTAATTGAATGCAGGTTCATTGCATTATGCTGGATCTTTACAGCTCTGTGCTGGTTCCTTTTTGGAATTTATTTTTTCTTAGACAAGTATGAAAACTAAACATTCTCAAATAATTTTTTATTTCAAAACTTTATAATATACTTTAGATTCTAATAATAATAATAATAATAATAATATAATTGTGGCATATAATTTTTGCAGTTTTGCTGGAGATACATGCACTGCACTAGAAAGTTTTCAATCAGATCCCTATAATAGCAGTTTGAGTTCAATTCTTCCCTGTGATGAATTGGTTTCAGCTGAATCAGTCCTTCTTGATGTCAGTCAAGGGGTACATCAAATAGTCAACGAGGTAAGCTCACTACTAAAAAATCACTATTTTTTGTTAGAAATTTTTCACCGAAAAATGTTTAGTAACTATTTCCACAGTTAATTTGATTGAATTACTGAGAAAAGAATAAAGAATCTATTTCGTACCATATTTCCTATATCATGATGACAAAAATCAATACATATAACACTTAAATTTATCTAAAGAGGCTAATGTACCTTGTCCAAGTCACTACTAAAAAAAATACTATTTTCCCAAAGTAATTTCTCAATAAAAATGTACAATGATTATTTCAACTATAGATATTTTGATTGAATCAGTGAGAAATAAAATAGTAATTTTTTCATACGGAATAAACAGAAAATTTCTCACTATTTCAGTAAGAATATATTTTCCTAGTAAGCCAGTTCCATGAAAACTCGTGTTTTATAACACAAATTTCTCATTGATTCGCGATAGGAAAACCCTTTGTTTATAGCTGTGAAGGTCACCAAATAAAACATACATGAAATATGAAGAACTAATTACTAACTACCTTTGATTACCATTCCCTTCCTCCGCTATTTACGATGAAATGATTTCCTATGACCACTTATAATCTTTGAACAGAAAAAACTGATTTTTTTTCGGATTTCTCACAAGTAATCTTTTCGAATTTCTTATGACTCAAGTAAGATTTGAAAAGTGCAGGTGAACCAAAAGTTATCTACAGAATATGGAAATGTTGCACAAATTTGTAATCCTTTCTCTGGTCCACCACAATATAACTACGAGCCAGGGAACTGTTCCTCTACAACGATTCGCGTAGGAGACCTTCCTCGGGTAAGTAGGAGTAATTTCCAAGAGTTAATTTCACGTATGGTCATCATTAACGTTCAGTTACTTTAATGTGACAAACAGTAGTAGTAGTGTGTTTGATCTGAAACCTCTATTTTCTTCTTGTCATGAAGATATTCAAGATGTTAACCTGCACTGATCCAACTTGCACTGGAGGAGTCATGATCTCTCCTCGAGATTTCAACACAGTCGATGCTTACACAACCGCGGTCCAGAAAATCCTCGATGTGTACCCTGGAATGGAGAATCTAACTCAATGTGACACGGTGTTTAATGCATTTGACGATATCATTGACAATCACTGCAAACCATTGAAGAAAAGCGCACATTTGGTATGGGGAGGACTTGTTTTCCTCTCGGTAGTAATGGTAACGTTGGTCCTCGTGTGGTCATTCGAAGCACACCATGAAGAGAATCATAACAACTTAGATAGTTCTATCAAGCCTCATTCTGTAGAAGCAGATATGATGGAATTAGGTACGCGGAAAGAAACTAATACTGGCTCAAATTCTGCTTCAGACATGTAAATAATACAATATTTAATTAGGTAATAGGAAAGAACATAGGCATTTTATTAGAAGAAGCAAAGATTCAACGCTCTCCCAGACAACAGTGTCATCATTGTCGCGAGGTTAGAGAGCATCCAACACAAAGCGGCCTTTCATTCTTTTAGGGGACCAAATAATGCCCTTTTTTTCTCCTTGTGGAAGAAAATGTGGTAGAGTTATAGGACCATATATACTGTATAGAAAATTGTTGTTTCTTCATAAAGTTAAAGAAGCCAGCTATGGGGATGAACCCCTCAAGTGGCATGTATTAAATTTTATAAAGCAAGCAAAGGTCTGCTTGGTAAATTTCATCATGGTTATTCTATCTGGATATATACTATATGGTTTTTTTTGTTTGGTAAACAAAAAATATTATATTAGTAAAACTTAGTATGCATCAGTACATGGTAGTGGTACAACGGTATAACTAACCGCTAATAAAGTTCCGGGTAGGGGAGAGGAGTAAATACAATAGTTATTACATTAATAATAACATGTAGCAGCGAAATCCTACAAGTGAAGTTTGGGGAGAGTAGAGTATACGTACCTTAATCCTACGTTGTGGAGGTAAAGATCGGTTGTTTTCGAAAGATCCTCAACTTGAGTACAACAAATCAAAATAGGTATGAAGAAGGTAAACAACAATGAAGAAAGATAACAACTAATAAGAGAATAGTAACAATCATAAAATAGTGTGATAACCTATACACAATTTACAAAAGATATTGATAGAAAGCTATGTTGGATGAGGGGTTTCCCCAGAATGTTTATATATGTTCTACTATGTGATGTTCTGGCTTGTGTTTTTGTGGAGAGGGATCAATCCTTAGTGTATTTTTTAACAAGTATACACACTTTAAATCGACATCCATTAGCAATTGAGCACCCTACTTTTTATTGAGACAATCTAGACACTTCATCTTGGCACAGGTGCGTCTCGCAAACACTTTTAACTTTGAAAATGCACATCGAGACACCTTTAAAGAGACATTTTTTATGTGCATTTTCAAAGTTGAGGTGTTTACGAGACAACTTAAACCAGTTGAGACGATCCACACGAAGTGAGTATGAGGTCAGAACAATGTTGAATTGTCAGAAAATATCATGTTGAAAACCACAGACATCCAAATAAAAATGTTTAACAATCTTGTTTAAACTTAAGGGAGAACCCCCAATCACAACTGGGTTATAAATTTGCACCACCAAAGGAAAATATAAAAAAATTAATTTCCTTATTTGCATATTGTCCGTTGATATCAGACATCACCAAGATACATAATCAAGAAACAGTATCCACCCATGCTGAAGAACACGATCTGATGATGGTGCTACACTTCAGTTTCCTTCATCCTACATAAGAAAAAGGCAGAAGAGCTGTAAGATCATTAAGTATAACAATCTAAGCAAAACTTAGTAAAGCTGAAGCATAACACCAAGTAAAAGAGCAGCAATGGACGACGATGATCTCAAATCAAGAGCGAAAAACGATCAGATCTGATGCTCTCATCCAAAACAAACCCATACTCTAAATTGGACTATATGTTAAAAAAGGGACCTTGGGTCTAACTTGACCCCAAAGCTAACTAATGGAGCAGTAAGGATCTCAAGCAGTATATTATAAACAAACATTTCCAAGTTGCTTACAATAGATCTAAAACTTGAAGGAAACAGAAACAATACAAAAGCATTAATAAGGATAAAGAAGGTGATGAGGATGAGAAGATCACAGAGATGAGAATAAGAAATTGCTATAACTTGTTGCCTACCCTACTCATCCTCATTTTAGCTATTTATACTAACTCTCAGTACTTGTGTTGCCCTTCACGTGATGTGCCCCAGTCACAACATAATCAATTAATTTCTTAGGCGCAGTCCTCATACGCATGCCTCTCCTTGGTGCCCCACTCAAGTTATCCAGCTCGGCAGAATGTGGGTCCACAACATTACTCCCTTCCGAATTCAGAACCTTGTCCTCAAGGTTCATAGATGGCAGTGGCAAATCAGAATTTGATTCAGTCAATTGTAGAGGAGTCACTTGATTCTCAGGCTGTCCAATACAACGCTTGAGCAATGAAACGTGAAAAACAGGATGAATCTTCGCGGCCTCCGGAAGGTCAAGTTTGTAAGCAACTGCTCCTATTTTCTTGAGGACCTGAAAGGGTCCAAAAAACTTGCGCCCAAGTTTGTGGGAAGGCTGCAAGCGTAACGAATATTGGCGATATGGTTTGAGTTTGACATAAACCCAATCTCCCACTTGGAAATGGATGTCAGTGCGCGCCTTAACCGCATTAACTTTCATACGCTTCTGAGTCTTGGTCAGGTTCAACTTGAGCAACTGTAAAACTTCATCCCTCTGTAACAAGAACTGGTCCACCAGATCACTCGAACTATCTCCCATGACATAGCGAGTTATAGACGGTGGTTTGCGGCCATAGACTACCTCAAAAGGCGTCATGCTGCTGAAGTTTGGAGGGCTGTGTTGTACCAAAATTCAGCCCAAGGCAGCATGGCAACCCAATCCTTTGGAGTGTCGGCCACAAAGCAACGTAGGTACTGCTCCAAGCATTTATTTAAAGCTTCTGATTGTCCATCGGTTTGTGGGTGATAGGCGGTACTCATGGCGAGAGTAGTTCCTTGCAGCCGATGTATCTCCTGCCAAAAATCATGAATGAACCTAGGATCGCGATCAATGACTATGGTGCGTGGAGGACCATGTAAGCGGATGATGTCAACCACAAAAGCCTCAGCCACTATTCTGGCCGTGAAAGTAGATGGAAGGGAAATAAAGTGTCCGTATTTGGACAAGCGATCTACCACTGTCATGACTGTTGATTTTCCTTTTGAACTAGGGAGACACGTGATAAAATCCATGGCAATGTCTTCAAAAACCAACTCGGGAATCGGGAGGGGTTGAAGAAGGCCTAAAGGGTGATGATTGATACCTTTCACCTGCTGGCAGATTTGACACGTGGAGACAAAAACCTTCACATCTTGTTTCATGTGTTTCCAGTAGAAATTAGAAGCCAAACGATGGTATGTTCGGGCAACTCCAGCATGCCCTCCAATGGAAGATGCATGAAACTCCAATAGCAGTTGTTGGCATAAGGAAGAACCTGAGGGAATAACCAGACGCCCATTGTAAAAGATTAACCCATCACGAATACAATAAGCTGGAACAGAGGTAGGGCTCGTGAGAATAGATTGCTTTAGAGCAAGCAACTCAGTGTGGCTGGTATTAAGGTCTCTTAATTCCGTAAGAAGAGTGGGAACGCTCTTAGAGAGTGCCATGTAAATAACATCCGGAACTCTAGATAACGCATCAGCAGCCCCATTATGTCGGCCAGGTCGATAGATAATGGTGAAGTCATAGCCAACCAATTTTCTGAGCCATTTTGTTGCTCAGGTGTCTGGATAGTTTGGGTGGTTAAGTTCTTGAGTGACTGTTGATCAGTCACGATGGTAAATTGGCGTCCCAACAAATATTGCCGCCACTTGCCAACAGCTTGAATGATGGCGAACATTTCCCTGTGATAGGTTGAAGCTTGTTGCATGCGTTTGCTAAGTTTTTGACTGAAAAAGGCCACTGGATGGCCATTTTGCGATAATATAGCTCCAATGCCGACGCCGGAGGCATCAGTTTCCAATTGGAAAGCTTTGCTAAAATTCGGAAGCGCCAAAACAGGGGTGGAGCTGAGACAAAGTCTTAATGCATCAAAAGCTTCCTGCTAGGGTACAACCCACACAAAGGCCTCTTTACGTAACAAGTCAGTCAATGGTGCAGCTATGGATGCATAATGATGAATAAACCGACGGTAGTACCCAGCCAGCCCTAAGAAACTCTGTACATCTTTCACAGAAGAAGGCGTAGGCCACTGCTGAATGATTGTAATTTTGCTAGGGTCTACTGCTAAACCAGCGGTAGTGATAACATGGCGCAAATAATCAACAGATGCTTGGCCAAAGACACATTTCGACCGCTTAGCAACCAATTTATGCTCCTGAAGCAATTGCAAGACTAACCGTAATTGTTCAAGATGGGCAGTCCAAGAAGGACTATAAATCAGAATGTCATCAAAAAAAACTAATACAAAGCGGCGCAAATACGGGTGAAATATATCATTCATGGTCGCTTGAAATGTGGAGGGAGCATTGGAGAGACCAAATGGCATAACAAGGAACTCGTAATGCCCTTCGTGAGTCCAAAATGCAGTCTTCTCGACGTCCCCTGGGCTGACCCGAATCTGATGATATCCCAATAACAAATCCAATTTAGAAAAAAATTGGGCACCATAAAGTTCATCAAAGAGTTCATCGATAGTGGGAATTGGAAATCTGTCGCGCACTGTGACAGCGTTCAAGGCGCGATAATCCACGCAAAAACGCCAAGAGCCATCCTTTTTGCGAACTAAAAGAACAGGCGAAGAAAAAGGGCTGGTGCTGGGACGAATGACCCCATCGCGAATCATATCACCAACTAATTGTTCCATGACATTCTTCTGGAAATAGGGATAATGGTATGGGCGGACATTCACTGGTTCTGTCCCTGGTAGCAAATGGATGGTGTGATCTTGGGGTCGCACCGGTGGAAGGCCCTGAGGTTTCTGAAATACAGTTGAAAAATAGTCTAGTAAGGCAATAATATCCGGGGAAGTGCCGTCCCCTGCTGGTGGGGAATCAACCACCAATGTTAAATGGAAATAAGAAGAGATGGCATCAGTAGCTGATAAACGACGGAGGCTATGCAACTGTATGGGTTGTACATCTGGTGGATCGCCATGCCAACTGTACCGCTGTCCACGATAGTTGAATTCAAAAATACGAGCCCCGTAATCCGTGACCACAGGACCCAATGTAGCCATCCACGACGCCCCAATAACCAAATCAGCCCCATGGACAGCTAACACAAAGAAATCTAAATGAATAGTTGATCCCTGAACTGTCAATGGCACACCATGACAAACACCGTCACACTTGAGAAGTTGTCCACTTCCCACCACCACAGAGAAAATAGGGACTGGCGTCACTGGGAGCGGGAGAAACTTGGCCACCCGGGACTGAATAAAATTATGTGTGCTGCCGCCGTCAACAAGCACCTGTACCGGAGAACCAGTTACATGTCCGGTGAGACGAATCACATGGTCCAAAACGCTACCAGTCAAGGCATGATAGGAAATAGTGGAGTGAGCCTGAACCTCCAAACATTGAAGTTCCTCGGCGAGGACCTCATCAGAAATTACGGGTGTCGGCATAAGCAAAGAATCCTCGACCTCATATGACAAAAGCAACAATTGAGGGCCAGTCTTACAACGGTGGCCGGCAGAAAACTTCTCATCGCAATTGAAGCAAAGCCCTTTTTCCCGACGACTCTGCATCTCAGCGTGAGATAGGCGCTTAAAGGGAAGACGAGCATTAGAAGGCGTCGTCGGCGCAATTGGAGCTGATTGGGATGTCGGCGTAGGCAATAAGGGTTGGGTCCGAGCAAAAGCGGGTCAGGGTGGCCCTTTTTCAGCTATAATACGTTGCTCCTGAATATAGGCTAGGTTAATGACTTGGTCCAACCATGTGGGCTCATGAGCAGTAACAGCAGTTAGAATATCGGGTCGAAGGCCCGAAAGAAAGCATTCCACCAAAAACTCCTCAGGCAACGTCATCGTTTCATTCATAACAGCTTCAAAACGACGTCGAAAGTCTGCAACAGTAGAAGTTTGCATCATCTTAGACAGACGACCTTCCGGCGAAAGGACATGACGGGGACAAAAGCGGCTAAGCAGTTTCTCTGTGAATCGAGGCCAATCACTCAATTGTTTATTACGATAGAGCCATTGATACCACTCCAAGGCTTCACCGTCAAGATAAAACGAAGCCAAGGTCAATTTATGTTCAGCGATAATACCGTAGAAACCAAAATAACGATCAGCCTGAAAGATCCAAGCGTCTGGCTGTGCACCATTAAAACGACCAAATTCAACCGGTGCCGGTTTATGGCGAACAGGCATATGACCACCAGATGAACTACCAGCCATGCTAGAAGGTGGAGCAACCATCAGCGACGGCAAACGAGAGCTGAGATTTGCTACTTGAGCAGCAAGATCTTGAATCACTAACTGTTGACTTGCTAGGTGGGAACGAAGGTCAGCATCAGAAAGGCCAGAAGAGTCGGAACCGTCGGGAGCTATGAGTTTCGAATCCGGTGACATGATAGTCGGCAAGATGAAAGCACCAATGGAGCAGTAAGGATCTCAAGTAGTATATTATAAACAAACACTTCCAAGTTGCTTACAATAGATCTAAAACTTGAAGGAACAGAAACAATACAAAAGCATTAATAAGGATAAAAAAGGTGATGAGGA